TTTAATTTATCACTGAGCCTTGCAGAAGTCATTAGTTGCCGTCTGCACTCGAGAGATATGCGGACGCGCCTTATAGGATTTTTGGGTTGAGACCTTGGTGAATTACACTCCAGGTTTTCTTTCTACGAATAAATGTACGGAACCCATTATTTTAAGTCGAACAAATTCTTGTGAGGACAGTCTCTACCTTTTGATGACTTTTAAGCGTAACGTCATGACAGCATTGCCTCCTGCAGCCACGCCATCTGCTGTTCAAGACAAAGATAACCTGTCTCTCTTACTCTAACCTCACCTCTATCCATCGGTAACTCAATTTATGTCCAAAAGTCATGAATCGAGCGTTTTTTCTCAAACGTTATTGCAGATGTAAACTTTCCCTACAGAATAATATAATATTAATATTCCATTTAGTAAAAAAATAGACCGTGGCCTATCTTAGTTGCCCGAAACCTAATTAACATAGGAACAGAGTTGATTGGATGGATTACAAATAACCCTTTTTTTCATTTTTTATTTTTTTTTGTTATAACTATTTTTATTACAACCCAGTGGTGACGAGATGTAAATTAGAGAAGAATTACATGATCCAGCAAATTTCGTAAAACTGAATTTCAAAGAGAGAAAGCTATGTACGTGAGGGTCAAATGAAAATTGAGACGGGTAACCATGCATCTAAATTCACTCCAACTTCAATATGATTGCTAAAGATGAAGGGATCAGCGGTACATAATCGTCGAGTTTCCTAACGCATAAATACAAAATCGAGCTTATTGAATGTGTAGGAAGAATTAGAGTACCTGTATAGCGAGAGTATGGACAGATCGCTTCATGGAGGGCTTAGGGCCCAAAAGTGCAGCCACCCTTCTAACCAACTTCTAACGCACAAAATTTCACTGCCAGTCTGCAGATTCCATTTCTAACCATGATGGCAAAGAATGTACAGAAATGAGCGTTCTTCCGCGAAATTGTGTAAATTTATGCAAAAACTGAGTCAAACACGTGCTTAATAAACGACGGTTCGTAACAATAGTATTAGTAAATCGTTCTGGATAATTGAAATTCATAGGTTGGCTGCATTTCTGGGCCCTAACTTTATTCGCAGAAGCATCGGTGAAGGCCTGATGGATTTTCGGAGTTTCACATCTGTCCATACTCTCGCTATACAGGTACTCTAGGAAGAATAAAAAAGCTTTGTAAGACTCTGTAATAGAGAGTTCAATTGCAGGATAGTTATAAACCCCCTAATTGGAACTTAGCGTTTCATTCCATTTCCTTATGACGTTAGTGACGTTTCGTCCTCATCATCTTTAAATTCCGTGTTTGTGACCTCGTCGCCATTTTATACATGTTACTGGTAATAAATTATTACAAATAGGACTTCTTGTTTTTAAAATTCGTCCATCGATTACTGTCCATCAAGTTGTTCCGAGTTTTGAACATGCTGGAAAAAGGGTTGTAAAGGGGTCAATGTTGAAGCGGACGATATTAATCTCGATTTCCGAATAATCTTCCCGTTGGAGCCTGTTGATGTGACTGAATCCGACTGACTTAAGTCCACGGTAGTTCTCACTTCATGATGCCGAATTCGGAAGCGCGCTCAAAATCTAGGTCGAGCACGATTAATTGTTTTGAGTGCGTCGAGTTAAACTCTCCTCGTTCACTCAACAGCATTCGCTCACCCCCTCACGGCCAACCCGTGCCCGTCTCCCCCCTTCACCCCGCCACCCCTCTTTCCAAAAGGATTTGCAGCTTCACACCCAGAAAAAGAGCATTTGCAAACAAAAGACCCCTTTTCATAAATACGTAACTAATCAGCGTGTCATCGCTATATATTGCCTTTCATGCTGCAGAAAAATTACCACCTTGGATGCAGGCATGAAAAGCTACGTGTTTTTCATTACCCAGCTGGATGAATGGAAAATGATAACTCTGGGTTTTATCAATAAAAACAAAAGAAAAACCCTGTACCTCCGATAGCACGAACTGTTTTATTTTCCAATTTTGTTCGCTCATTTTTTTTTTCACGTAAAACTGAAATGATTACCTGCCTGACTGCAACGCACTAGTGAGAGACTAGCATATGCATGCTTCTCTCTGACGAGGATATAAATCAGTGCTCATTTTCGTAATAACCCAAATAATTTGGAATTAGCTATTTTCTTGTTTTCATCCTCTTTCAGTTTATCAAGAAAATTTTTTTGTTAAAATCGTATCATCAAGTCCCGTTTCTAGATTTAGTTTTTTGTTTTCAAGAAAAAATTTTGACCTAGCAAAATTTCGCCGAATTTTCATACGCCTCGAAATTTTTAGTAAGAAAACTAGGTGATCGAGATCGGAAAATCGTTTTTACTTTCTACACTAAGCATTCACTACGAATTAGTTTTTTCATGAGAACTTTCTCATGATTTTGAGCTTTTAGACAAGTAAATCTCTAACGATAGAGGTTTGATTATTACAGGCTAGAAAAAATAGGTGTGATTAAATATTTAATACAAAATCAGGCTTGACTAAATTCAATATTAAATTATTGTCATAATTCCAACCCTTGTTTAAAATCTCATTTTTTCCAAGGTGTCGAAACCACACCGCATCTTTCACTGAAAAAAAAGAATCTTAAATTTGCCGCCAAGAAGTATTTTTTCTTAAATCAAACATTTTTCTGCTTAATATTAACTACTTTTTTGCTTTAACCATGCCTTACTTTCCTTGCATCAAGAAAAGTTCGGCTTAAATCAAGATGAAACAATTCTTGGCGGCAAATTCAAGAATCTTCGTGCTTGAGCCAAGCACCTTTTTTTTCAGTGTTTACCGCATTCTGTGCTTTCAGTGGTCTTTGTGTTCAAGTTAGTATCACCAAAATAAGCGTTTTTCCTTACCTCAAGAATCACGCAAACCGGGAAAAACTTCGCTGCAGGTGGATCCGAGCGATTTTTAAAAAGACAATCTCTCTCGCTGAAAGGCTTCAGCGCTTCACTGTCTAGGTGAATATAAGCCTTTAGTTCTCTCGATCTCCTCGGCTAGTACCCGGTTTACTTGGTTCGTTAATGTGCAAATGTTTCCACTGCGAGTGCGGGCTTATGCGGCAGCTGCTGGCAAAGCACTGCCGATAACGCCCTTATTCCTTTACGCCAATATTTGCTCTCGCTGCCTCGAGTGACGCTCCTGTGCTTGGAAAAAGCTAATAAGAATTCACAGCTGGCTGCGCACATTCCTCCGCGACTAAATTAAAATAAATTCTTATTCTCAGTCTAAATAGCGCAGCGTTCGGCGGATGAAGCCATCTGCGTTGCGCCGTTAACTTTAATGATTCAATACTTTGATACGATGAACGGAAAATAAAGGTAGCGTTATACCTCCTAAACTTCGATCAGTTACTTTATTCGTGAAAGGACTTATAGTTTCATACAAAGAAATGACTGCTATTGATTTTTGATGAAAGCTACCGTAGACACTTGGATTACGTTTTGCAATTAGGAACCACAATTTCTGGCTCATCCGTAAAAACACGCATGTCCATAGGGAAACTAATGCTACATACGTTGTTTTCAAACTGACCCAAAAATTGTAGTTCCTAATTGCAAAAATTAGTACACTTGTAAGTCATGAATTTTCTCTGACTTCGCGTTTCAAATCGTGATTTTACATCGTAAGAAGCTACACTGAAAAAAAAGTATGGTGACATTTACTATGAGTCTACTTGATTTTTTACACAGTGATACTATTTAGTGGAAATAACCAGAATTATAGTAGTATTCGCCAGAACTCTGGTGATTCTTACCATAGTATGGTAAATGCCACCATAGAGTCTGGTGTTTATTACCATATTCGTATCACTGTGTCAGAGATGGTAAAATCTACCGGCATATTTTTTTCAGTGTAAGGAAAATGATGAAGAATCACGAATGTATGAAGAATATTTAGATAAAAAAAAGGCAGATATAACCAGCCAAATCACAATTGGACTGCAATTTGGAACTGTAAATTCTGGCTCTTCTGGAAAAACACTTATGTGAGTAGGGTAACTAATGGCACACATGTCGTTTTTGAGTCGGGCTAGAATTTCTAGTTCCATATTGCAAAATGTAGTGCAATTAAGGGGCTCGGAGGACGAGGTGCATAAGTGCAGTCTTTGCTACTTTGAGCAATACGTGTTTGAAGTTTCGGAATCACATGAGCTTTATGAAGAAAAAAAAGTTCAGACTAAATTTTCGATACTTAAAAATTAGAATTTGTGAGCGAATTGTTAACAAAACATGCATTTTGACTAGTTTTATTTGAAATAATTAATATCTCAATTTTTTTTATTTTTTTTTTAAAAAAAACTGCACTTACACGCCTTGTCCTAGCTCCAAGCCCCCCAATTGAATTAAATAAAATGTGCCATAAAATGAACACACAATGCTTATCATTTCAGCCGAAAACCAAAACGAAGAAAATATGCAAGAACCTCTCTTTTCAAATGTTAACTTTAGAATTTGATGAATTCTGCTACACATTGAAATTCAATTTTTTTGGGGGCCAATAAGCGTCTTTTCGGGGGCATGGAACATTAATTTGGGTTACGCGTGTTTCTTTGAATGCTAGACCTACCAAAACGCCTGCACTTATTCGCGTATGCAACACAAACATCCGTTGAGCAGTTATAGTGGCATCCCAGTGGTACTCTTTTTCACAAAGGTTCCTTTTCAATTTTTACTCCATTGAGTCTATTGACGACGTGTACAATGCTACTCCATAATCTTGAATTCTAGAAATTTATAATTGTATTTACCAAAAGAAATTCAGTTGCTGTTAGTTGAATGTCTTGGTTGGATTCTGAGTGAAATGACGCATACGCTTGAGTCGTATCGATGTGAAGGTTGAGAAGATGATGAAGTAGAAGATTGAAACAGTTTACGCAACTGTTTTGATTTAACCCTCAAGGTTTTTTAAAATAAAAATACTCATGTGAAAAAAAAAACCCGTGCGTTATGAATTTCTGCGACTTCATTATTTTTCAGCATGCCGGTTTCGTTTGTAAAAATATGTTCCGCCTTTCTGGGCACCATATACTTCATTCTATTTTTTGAATGACGACGATCATGAGTCGCGCCACCCTCGGGGTCTGAGGACCGAAGGGGTCGGGAATCTAGTTCGAAACGAACGCATTTGGCTGCGTGCAACGCTCCGTGGACTGAAGTCAGCCGACGCTTCTCGTTTTCGGCTTCGTAACATGTGTGACCGGGGAAGAATGAACCGTTGTGGAGCCCGAATAAAAACTCTCAAAGCTGCCAGCGGCTTTGTCGAAGATGACCTGCACTGCGACAAATGATGGCGCCCGCTAAGTGAATTTCTTCACGAAACTTAGTCTGTGATACATCATGTCGGATCCGGCCGATAACTTTGACGATGAGGTAAGTCTCGACCATTGCAGATCATTCAAAAACATAAGGAGTGGAATATGGGTAGTTATATGCTCTTTTTCTGAAGATTGACTCAATGCGAGTGATTACGGATCTTTTTTGTCCAAAGGGAAAGGGGCAATATTTTTGTTCAAGACGACTTGTGTTTCAACCCCCAACCCCTATTTATTATGAGAGAAACTTACCAAATTGGAGATTATACCCAAATCATCGTGAGAAAAAATCGGAATAATAAAGGTCTTAAATTTTCAAGGGCACCTCTTTCAAATTGGCCTGATTATTTTTAAGACAGCATTTAAAACATATATTCAGCGTCACCAGATGTGTGTCATGAAGTTCGTCAACTCTCTCTTATTCAACGGAGATCTGATCATAAGTAAAATTAGATAAAAGTCTTATCGAGAATCTAAATTTACTACATTGATGACGCTTAAAAATATTTAATTTCCACTCTTCATAGGTTCATACATTTGAAAGTATGCGCAAACAGAAATGGCCCCCTTGAATTTAGAGGGAGAGATAGCTTTTCATGCTTAGTGCTTAACTGCTTACACCTCAACGTTAAATTCTCAGCAATATTAACTCTTAATTTAATCTCCTCACGAGGAAATACCCCCTTCCTACTTAAACTCTAGCAAATTTTAGCTCATGATAGGTCATTTTTCAGACGGAAGAACGTAATTACATTTCAACGCCGCAAAGTTTCCACCCATAAATATGTCTTCTTACTCGGAAACTTTTGGGCTTTTTAAACAGAACAATTACTGATTTTTCCTATCTGATTAACCGTAAAAATAGGCAAAACTTTGGACAGAAATTACACAGAATACTTTCATAAAACAGGGCAAACAATCAAGTTAGTAAATTTTGCAACTTTGGAATGGGGTTATATTTTCTTTTCAGGAATACGACGAATAGCACTGGTTACGAAAAATTCAGCTCAATCCGGCTCTTAGTGAAGGGTGAAAATCTAAAACCAGGCGGTGGGAAGGAAACTCTCTTGCGCGTGAAATTCGGAAGTACAGAAGAGACATAAAATAACTCAAAGCACGGGTTGCGTGCATTGCCGGTGGCCCGTAGCGTCAGGCGTCGGGGCGCCTTTTCGCGCCTGAACCCGAGCAGCCTGGGCTTCTACGCGATGATGAAACTGCGCGTTGTGGAAATCACCATAAATAAAGAGAGAGCCACAGAGGAGAGACCACGCCTCCGCTGAAAACTTCCTGCCTTTTGACAGCATTGTGTTGCATGTGAGATTAATGACACACCTGATTCTTTCCACCTGACTGAGGGAAAGAATATCCTCTTTATCTCCTCTCACGTCATTGTTGCCGCGCAACTCTCCGCAATAGAAACTCTGCATATATTATGTGACGTATTCTCAATGTCATAAAAGCAGATCAAAAACAATTTAACAATGACGAAATTAGTATTAACAAACTTTGAGAATTTCATCGCCATTTGTTGGTGGCTAGGGCCTTAAGTCTCCATGGGGTGTTTCGTGGGATTTGTCCCAGAGAAGAGTCTCACTTGCGAAGTTGGGAAAAATATTGAGTTAGCCAATACTAATCGCAGTGCCAAATAAGAGTCCTTTTAGAGCTCCAGGAACGACTTTAAAAGAAGGAGAAAAAAATTTGTTGTGTTTTTTAACGGGGAAAAAGCCCAGAAGTTTCATTCCTGCGATTCGAACTTGGGAAAAATCCCGTGAAACTTCCCGTGGAGACAAAGCGTATCAATTTGCCTCACATTTTTTAAAAATAATATGTTTCCTAAAATTTCACATTGAAAGTTCCGAATCAAACCAAAAAACACGTTGAGCTCGGTAAGCTGACGTAAAAACGGTATAGATCAATTTTTTTCTTCCCGAAGCATCAAATTGCAGTCAAATTAAATCTAATATAATAAACTGCGTTGAATAGATGCGTAGCATTTGTATTCCCCCTAATTCCGATTTGATTTGAATACGATTTGACGCATCTGCGTCGAATCAAACAAAAAATCTGTTCCCCATAACCGCAACCTTAAAGATTCAAGTAGACTGTTTCTGTAAGTAAGAACTGAATAAACTAGAGCTCCATCGAGAAACAGCTCTGTTCCATTAGTTCTCCTATGAAGACAAATACTTTTTTTAGTAAGCTAAAATAATGGTCTATTATTGTAAAATATAGCCCAAGTGGACGTATTGAAAGTGAATCAACCCATAACTCCATTTAAAGTTGTCAATTTTTTTTCATGTTTTCTTTTTCTGATAGGTAACAAGACTTTTTAACGCCTTTGAACTTCCTGTTAATTTATCCTAGATTATTGATAATCCCTGCACAACACTTTTAATTTCAGTGTTAATCTATTTAAAAAACAGAAGATCAGAGAAAATCAGGCAACATTCGGTGTCTAGTTAGACAGATTCTGGTTCAACCCATTTAAAAAACGTAAAGGAGAGAATAGAAAGGAATCGAAGCCAAAGGAATAATAACTTAATTTCAAAGGAGGAATATTACTTCCCTATTCAAAGACACTGCATCAAGTTGGAAGCGGTATATGCACAGCTCGTGCCAGATAAGAACTCGCTTTTTACAGTATTAGCTAAAGTTATGAACGTGCACTCGAAAGGGGAATTCTTATCCAAGACGAGGCACAGCAATAATTTCAACCCGGTGTGTCAACGACGCCGACGCTTTTCCGGAACAAGGGCCCGAGAGTTCATTCGTTTTTCTCGGTGTGAATCGATATTGCGATTAATCCTGACGTTATTGGCTTCGGCCCAATTAATCGTGTGCTCATCCTCCTCCTCCCGCTTCTACCCTGCTGCCGTCCTAAGCGAAATGCTTGACTCGGGAAAGGCGCTCCATTCAACTAAACGATTCTTACTCGATGGGATACACTGAAAAAAAAGTATGGTGACATTTACTATGAGTCTACTTGATTTTTTACACAGTGATACTATTTAGTGGAAATAACCAGAATTATAGTAGTATTCGCCAGAACTCTGGTGATTCTTACCATAGTATGGTAAATGCCACCATAGAGTCTGGTGTTTATTACCATATTCGTATCACTGTGTCAGAGATGGTAAAATCTACCGGCATATTTTTTTCAGTGTAGGGTTGCAGTAAACATGGCTCCTGCTGCAACAATGAAAATCTTCGTTCTGTGTAACCTAATCATTCGTATTTCTCTCCTCAAGGATCATTTTCTTCTAGCGCTTGAGCTGGGTATAGAGTCCCTTTATACTGCGAGTCAAAACAATGTGAATCCATTTCTGATTGGTTCCCCGTATTTTAGGCCTCCGCAGTGTCAGCAACAGGAATAATTTTTTTTTTCTGCTGGTTAAATGGCTTCGTGTCTAGCACCTTCAGCCAACTTTATACAATTTTTAGTGTCCGTAGACATCGTGGGATCTTAATGCTCCAGGCTTTTCCAATTTTCAGGGATTAGGGCCGAGGAGAATCTGTTTCAGCAGATCTACTCGTCAATTCCGTGAAAATAAGACGCCACCACCGGGATTCAAACCCGGGACCTATTGACCTAAAGTCAGACGCGCTGACCACTAGGCCAACCATCAGAAAACCACCAATTAGAGAACCGCCAAAAAATCAGACATTCTCTCTGGATACATGAGAATTACGAACTTGAGCGTTAAAGGCGCGTCAGCCGGTTAAATATGTTGTAGAATTGCCCGATATGAGAGAACAGACATGAAAATGAGACTAATCCCTCTGCTTGACTTTTTCTGCATGCTTCATAAAAAAATTGAACATTCTTGCGCGATACAGGAGGATTCATGAATTAATGAACTTGAACGTTTAAGGTGCGTCACCGACACGGAAAAAAAAGTGGCAGGGGTTATCCCCTAAAATTAAGGTACTAAGTACTACCCCAATTTGTTGGATGATATGGACATTTCTAATTATTGCGGTAGTACCGCAACTCAATTTAGGGTAGTACCGCAACATTTGGGTTAGTTACCTAATTTATTGGGGTGCTACCATCATTAAATGGGGGTGCTATCATAATTAATTGGGGTACTACCACAATTAATTGGAAATATCCATATCATCTAACAACCTCATGCTTTTTTTTCCACGGAGTTAAAAATGTTACAGAATCGCCCGAAATGAGAGAACACCAGTAAAGCCTGAGACCCAGTCCCTGTGCTTAACTTTTTTTTGCATGCTTCGTGAAAATTAGAATTTAGATTAATGAGCTTGGGCGTTTAAGGTGCGTCGCCGAGTTAATAATGTTGCAGAATCGCCCGAAACGAGAGAACACCGGTAAAGTAGGAGACCAGTCCCTGTGCTTCATTTTTTTTGCATGCTTCGTGAAAAAATTAGAATTTAACTTAATGAGCTTGGGCGTTTAAGGTGCGTCGCCGAGTTAAACATGTTCCAGAATCGCCCGAAAGGAGACAACACCAGTAAAGTAGGAGACCAGTCCCTGTGCTTAACTTTTTTTTGCATGCTTCGTGAAAAAATTAGAATCTAGATTAATGAGCTTGGGCGTTTAAGGTGCGTCGCCGAGTTAAAAATGTTGCAGAATCGCCCGAAATGAGAGAGCACAAGGAGGAAGGAGACCACGAGACCAGTGCTTGTGGGTGTAGTAGTGGCGGCGTGTTTAAGTGGAGGGTTTCGCTGGAGCAGACATGATTTGGTACTTTAATGGTGAGCACTCGATGTGTCGAGCGCCCTCGAACTTAACAAACGGGCAAGGGCCTCGAGCCTTTTCGCTACGAGTGCCCGTATCAATCCTATCTACGCACAAGTGAAATATTCCCTCGAGGGCCCTTGTTCCCTGAGAGCGAAAATGGCCGCGAAAACAAGACATTATATATTTAAAAATAGAAACTCCTCGAGATTCTTACGGAAAGCATGGATTAAGGTGATTCTATGTGATCTAGGGACGAGATCCACCTACCGCGTTGCGCTGCTATGCGGTTCACGTCTTCGAGAAGCAATGGATCGTATTCGATAGTGATTCGATGTATCGTCTGGTTCAAA